CCGCATTTCCGGTGCCGGAGGGGGCTGGGTAGGGGTTTGGTCTGGAAAATTCCGGGGTTTCGATTTGATTTCGTTACCAAGCGGAGAAAAATGCAGAAATTTTTTTTTTTTTTTGAGAATGAGAAAAATGCAGAAATGCTATGCGGTTGGGAAGCCCTGGGCCGGGCTTTTTTACGTGGGCCGCGCGGCCGAACTCGGAAACGAGGTTGGGCCGTCAGGCCCGTTAGCCCGGCCAGTTACTGTTCTACTCGGTTTCCCACCATCGCTTCCCATATATACGCGACCCGCCTCTCATACCTGCCAAAAGTTGAGGTCGCCAGCCAGCCGTCCGCCATGGACACGGACGACTTCCAAGCGGTGCTGGAGAGGCTGCTGCAGCTACGCCTCGATTGCCCGCCGGACGGCGACGGGGCCAGCGCTCCTCAGGACGCCCCGGCGCAGCCCGCCGCCGCCGCAGACGACGACCATGCAGTAGTAAAACAATCGGCGGCTGAATGGACGGAGGTCCTGGTGGGCGAGATGGCGAGCGCCGCCTCCATGGACGACGCCCGGCGCCGCGCCGCGAAGATCCTCGAGGCCTTCGGAGGCGCCGTCTGCGCTCGGGCCGCGCGGGTAGTCGGTGACAAGGACCGCGAGCTGGAGAACGTCCGGCGGCAGAACATCATCCTGAAGAAGGCGGTGCTGCTCCAGCACCGGCAGCACGTGGAGGACGAGGCGAAGGGCAGGGAGCTCCAGGGCCAGGTCGCCCAGCACCGGGAGCAGGTCCGGCAGCTCGAGGCGGACAAGTATGTGCTGTCCATGCACCTCAGGAACGCGGGCGGCGGGGCCTCCATGCCGGGGAACTTCAACCCGGAGGTTTTCTGAACAGGCAAAGGCGGACGCTGGTTTATCCGAAGAATTATTGGCGGGTTGATTTGCATAGCATGATGATATATCATACTCTGTTCAAGTCTGATCTTGTCTGTTTTGTATCTAACATTGACAATTAATAGCTTATTTTGATTTATTTATCTATATTTTCGGTGTGTTGCCACACTCGCCTCTCAGAGCTAGATAAAATTGCACGCACAAACTTGCTACAAGTATTAGATAAAATTGCATGCACAAACTTGCTACTCCCTCCATTCCAAAATAGGTGACCCAACTTTGTACTAAGTTAGTACAAATTTGGGTCATCTATTATGAAATGGAGGAAGTATGTCCTATCTTGAGTCCGCACATCATACCTTTCGAGTACATACGCTAGAAATCTATAAACGGATATTGCACGCGCATACATCCAGCCGAGTAAATTAAAAAAAACACCGTAATTGTGCAAAAGTCATCAAACATCAAACATCCGACAAAATGCATGTTTTCTTATGGTTTTTCTTGAAGCTGCCCAATTGTGATGGGTTCTTTTCAATTTACTCCATCCAGGCAGATAACTCAAACAGTTATCCAGACCGCAAAAGAAAGAAAAAGGGTTACCCAACTGGATCCCTTCCTCCTCCATTTTGTCTCTTATGTCTGGGATATCCGTAAACCCTCAAACTCAGCCCATATGCGGGAGGATATGAGGACGTCTGAAAATGTCTAGCAGTCCACCACGTCGGACGCGTCCATTCGGCCCACTTTATCTCATTTTTTAGTTCTTTTTTTTTTCTTTTCATCCCCATCAATCACATACATTTGACCGGATAATTTGAGGGATATAGTTGCGTGCATGAACGATGAGGGTTCAGAGTGGACACGCCCGGACATTGTCTAGACATATATGGGGCAAACTAGCTCAATCCGTCTTTAGATGCTCTAAGAGGATAAGAGCAAGAATGAAAGAGGTAATCACAACTCTGTTATACCTTTTTTTTTCTTGGCAAAAAAGGTAACAAAACTATTTTAAAAGGTTTTGGTGTGAAGAGCTATTTCAGATTCTCTGTATTACAACCTCTATAATATTTATGTATATAGAAGGTGACGAGCGAGGTGCTTTGCTTGGACTTGTATCGGGCGTTGTTGCTAATCTTCAGCTCATGTATTCTGCCTTGGGTGTGTGCATGTATTGTGGTATCTGTTTCACCTCTATCGATGGAGCAGCTCAAGTTGGGGTCTCTTCAGGATTCGGAGGTGGACCTGGCATCACCAAGCCCCCGTGGAGCCTTGTCATGCGTCAGAGAGCCTACCTCTCGGCGTCGTGGAACGCGGAGTTTTAGATGTTGTCGCCCTTCCCTCGTCTTCGACCATCAAGCAGGTGACGCCTGTGAGTGGCAATGACCATTGAGCCATTTGTGTTGGCACCTACTCTAACTCCAGATGCTCTCATTGCGAAAAAACTTTGTTGCTTGCTAGCCAACATGGAGGTTGCTAGACCTGGTTTGGGCAGGTCGATTACTTGCTTGATGAATGATCTTCGGTTTCTTGGCATGTCCTCTTGGACTGGGTTGTCGTTATGGTTTGGGAAGTGCTTGATGCCTTGTGTCGAGGTGTTCTTGTCGGGGTTTACTTGGTGTAGTAGACCCGTAACAGTATCGGAGTTTGTAGATGTCGTCTATTTGGTGAGTTTGGCGGACCGTCTACGGAGCTGAGAGGTGTTAGTTGTGAGGTTTCATGCCACGTGAGTAGTTTGTTTGTGCTCCATTTATATTGGTTTTCACCCGGTTTATCGTAAGTTAACTGAGCAGTGAGGCAAAAAATTTGCCCCCGTTTTGAAAAAAAAAAGTGTAACATACCAGCATGATCGGTGACTTCACTGTACTTTCCCTTGCAGATTGTATCTACCGTATGTGGCACCCAACAAGCGTGCAGTAAGATCATTGCTTAAGAGGCAAAGGATAATAATAACACAAGCATCTGTCAAACTCGCAAAAAGAAAAACACTCGAATCAACCTCTCAGCTGATCAGCGTAGTACAACCATTGTGGAAAATAAAGGTTTACTACAGGCAGAATCACTAGACTTCCACCAATAACGCATGCTCTTCAGCTTCCCACAGTATCTGCTGGGTTCCACCAAGAACTAGAGCCCGAGACGGTCACGGCCCTAGCAGCAGGGGCGGATCCTTCTTCCCGCTGCCCGAATCGGAGTCCTCCGCCGGAGCAGGCCTCGGCGCGGCCCACGCACGGAGCGGCGGCTCGAACATCTTCCCGGCGACGTCCGGTGGCGGCTGCTGCGGCGCGTCCTCCCCCGGGAGCACCACCAGGCCCTTCTCCCTGAGAGACGACGGCTCGCCGTAGCACTCCTTCCAGAGGGAGTCCACCAGTTGCCGCTCCTCACGGGCTGCTTGGAGGTCGTCAGCGTCCATTGCGCTGATGCCTTCGATTCGGCTCTTCAGGACGTCTTTCAGCTTGTCCTGATCAGGTAGAGCGTTGCGGGCAGCTGGTGTCTTGTCGCGCACCAGCTCGAGAAGGCCGCCCAGGGCAGCCTCCCGGACTCCAGAGTCGTCGCTGGATGCGAGGTGTATAAGTTGATTCGGAAGACCAATCTCTGTGGCGACGTTCCTATCCGCCTTGTTGTTCAGCAGGTACTGTGTGAGATGCAGAGCTTTCCTGAGATGATACAGACAGGACAACCGTTACCGTTATGGACATTCCAGGTGCGTAATTAACAACAGAATTTTCTTAGCCAGAATCAACAAAATTAGTACAAAAACACCAGCATGAATAAACCGTGCAGATGTTGGTAGGATAGTTTCATTAGCAAGGTTGATTAACAACTTAACATGTTTATTCACAGCGCTAGAATTCTTGTGATAACTCTTTAGTGGTGTGCGAATGTAGACAAATAGAGAACCTGGTTGCCCCAGTTCAACTGATGGTGGATATTATGACAATAGAAAGCCAGATTATCAAAAGAAACAGGATGTATGAGTTGCATGATTTGAATACTAAAAACAATTTCTGAGTGATTCCTGTTCTACTGACAAGGTAGACATGCAAGCTGTTCCCATATACAATTTCTGCTTGCTCTGTAAATGTCTTGCTAGAAGATACAATTTCTTGGATACAGGGAGAAAGTTCAGAGTACTGTTCTGGTGTATACTTATTTCTTATCCTAGCAAACTCAACCAATTCAAAAATTCTCTTATGCAAATATGCAATGGTGTGCCATAGTAGGATAGGCACATAGCGGTTCTAAATACCACAAAACATACCTCTGAAGTCTAGCATCATCAGAACCAAGTGCATCTTTCAGTGCAGCATGTCCATTTCCTAGACGAAATGCAGCAAGACCGGACTGGTTATTGCGAATCAGAGCTGCAACACAAGGGTATGAAACCAATTATTAGGATGCACAACAAAAGAGAACTACATGAAGTTGAACTAGTGGTCCTTGCATGCAATTTTTTTTATCATATATGAAATGCACAAAGACAAAGACAAAGACAAAGAAGAAATGGCTTACAAGAGATAGCTCCAAGAGCTTTTGTGCGTGCAGTCGTGCTAGGATCAGACCTGAAGTTTGTCAATAGTGGCTCCAGTCCATTAGATTCCATGACAAGTTGCTGGCTTTTCGGGTTATTCTGGACAACCGTACTGACAACTTCTGCTGCCTTTGCTCGGATGCCAGCATTTGAATTTTTCAAGTAACCAAGCAGAGGATCTAGTCCACCAATAGAATGAAGATCTGCTTGGACAATTCAAACATTTAACAAATTCCATATGGTTAACCGCACTATAACTATTTAAAAGGAGATAGATCATCATTTGGCTCATCAGTGATCTTACCATTTGCCATATCAATGGATTCCACATGCTCTTGTAACTCATCAAGCATATCTGCGCACAAAGTTAGAAAATGTTTAGCTCAATGGGCTTTAACATGCACCGACAAATCAGAATCGGGTGCGAAAGGTACTTTTAAACATACATGAACAAAGGGTGTGAAAGGAAAAACAGGGTCTGATCAAAATAATCATCATAAGATGCATTTCTAATTGAAGTGGGAATGGTACAAATTCAGCAGCACACAAACAGAGAAACTTCATGGACTGTGACGAATATCTACCTCACCCCAAATGTTTATCAGAAAGTGTCAAAGAATGAATTTCTTACTTTCTATCAAACAACAGCAATTACTTCTGCCAAAGATATTACTTGTATGAATTCCAATGCCGCAAGGCACACATATTGCACAATCAAGTAAAAAATTTAAAATAAAAATTTGCATCATAAATGGAGAAGAACAGCAAGCCAACTGGTTAAAATCAGTGCAGGAATAACTGCCTATCGCTAATGTCAAGCCTACCCATTCACAGTGTGTGCTGCATTTTATTTATCTATCATATCCTTCACCTCAGGGCATGCAAATACTATGAACTTAAACAAGTGTCCTTAGCCCTAGATATATAAGCTGCAAGCATTAAATATTTGCTAGTTGCATGTTGTAGAGCACATACGGCACACAACAGCCAGTCTCCAGAGTGATGAAAATGCTCTCAGATGTGAACAATAGCATCCAAACAGGCTGCAGGGTATAAAATTGCACGTCTAACATAAAAGCAGCTATAGGTAACAACAACAGGAATGTGGAAGCATGATAAGAAACATGAGGTTTGAGAACACATGATGATCATAAAAAGCAGGAACACCTGAGAAGGTACCTTCAATGTTCTCTGGAGTGACACCATGAGATTGCAACACATCATCAGGGGTTTTCATCACCTGGGCGATCTCCTTCATCCTGCCGACAACATCGACTGTATTTGCCTGCATCGCCTCCATAAACCATTTCCTGTCCTCCTCACTGCAAACCGAAAATCAGGGGAACTATTAGCAACAGGAATACTCGCCGCCCACTCGGAATATCTTTCGGTCATTTCCATCTCCAACAAAATTCAAAGGCTCCAACAAGTAAATAAGCCTTCAATGATCGAACAGTAGCTCGAGTTCTAGAATCAAACAAACAAACAAATTAATGGCTCAGTGACAGCCACTACAGCTTAATTTAATTGATAACTATAGTGCTACACCAGGATGAATGAATCGCATCAAGCAAATAGTATAGAACAGTATTCAAACAGTAAGTATGACAGACAAATTTTAGCGAGACAATACAATACAGCTAGAGCATCATGATTCTTCATCCACAACACGAAACTGGTAGCACTAAATTTAATTTAACTCAACATCCCAATTGACACACGCACGCACTAACACAGCAGTAACCATAGCCTTGAAATCTGAATCCCTCCCAATTGACACATGAATACGAGAAACCTAGAACCAGTAACTCTATAAGCCTTGCTTCAAATCTGGAAACCCGCGCCAGATTCATCCCCACAATCTATCTAAACGGGAACCAAGCAACGGAACGGAGCGGGTAACTGTATAAGCAGGAACGAAGGTAGGGCAGGGGGGTTTGGGGGGAGGGGATCTGGGCTGGGCGGACGGACGGACCTGAGCGCGCGGGGCGGGTTGGTGCCGTCGCTGCCGTGGGCGAGGCTCCACTTGAGCAGGCCGTTCCAGTCGGGCCCGCCTCCTGCCCCATCCTTGGCCATGGCCTCACGGCTGTCGCCGGAGAGACGCTGCTGCCGGCGCTGCGAGAACGATCTGCCTCGAGGCGTGCGCTGCCGCGGGAAGTAGTGGTGGTGGTGGTGGTGGTATAGCTTCTGGCTCCTCCCCTTCCTTTTGTAGTGCTCTCTCTGATTGGTCTCTCCTCGCCTTGGTCGGCCGTGGCGTGGTGGAGACGGAGGGACCGTTCGGCGGCGGCGGGGGTCTGGAGTGTTCCGGAACCTGCGGTGTGCTTCCTGAGGTGAGGTGAGGAGGAGAAGCGTCTTGGGCCGGCTCCGAGGTTTGTCATTGTATCGGGGTCTTGGGGCCGTGATCAATGTGGAAAGCTAGGCCTGTTTGAATAACTGGGCTACCAGCCTATATTGGGCTATATTAGGCTATACAGCTCAGCCCTCGGGCCGTTCACTTATCTAGAAATGCCTCCTCTCTTATGGGCCGTGTACGCTGGTTAAACAACAAACAGGAGAGAAGAATATGCCTCTAAGATGATTGGGGTTTTTTTCGAGAAAATTTCTAGATCTATTCATTTCTAATCACGGCCGTACAATTAACGTTAGAAATAATAAAAATCAATTTGGGTTGTGTTTCGGATTGCCACCAATGTGTACCCTGCTAAATCTCAAACCAATCTTTTGGCTAGCCAACCTTTTTTGCAAAACCTCGAACCAATCTTTTGGCTAGCCAACCTTTTTTGGCATGGCAACCTTCGACACAAACACAACATCCCCCATGGTCATGGGAGCAACTGACAAGCGTCGACAGAGATCAACAACTACGTTCGTTTGAAACAAAAAATCAACTAGAAATTCAACAGACACAATTAATTAAATAAAGTAATTTTACAATGATATAATGTTGAGACGGACAAAAGGCCAAGTAGCACAAGGGAGGAACACTTTTGCAAGAACATCTACACGGTAGATGCACACTTCTGTACGGCTACACTATCGAACCTTTCCTACTCCTACTCCTCCCAACTACCTACACCTACCTATGGCCAGCCGGGCCAGGGAGGGACACACACACACGAGCAGCATTCTTCTTGGTGCTGTCATTTTTCGCGTCAGGAACTGAGGCAGAAGAGGGACGCGCCGGCACATCTTCCTCTCTCCAAAACCAAAACAAGATGTGCGGCCAACGTCCATGGCTAGTGGCTATTCCCTAGGAGACAGCTAGTTGCTGTGGTCTGCAGAGGATCACTTTGTTTACGCGCAGGTGGAGGCGGTGTGCCTCCGCGGCGGCGCGAGCATGAAGAGGGACTCGATGTCCGGCGGCTGGAAGTAGCCACCCTTGGGCGGCTCCCGGCGCGGCGCCGCCCCCCTGCCGAGCTCGACCGCCGGCTTCTTCCTCGGCGGCGGCGGCGGGCACGCCGGCACCGCCGGGATGCGGCAGCCCTCCCTCCTCGGCGTCTCCCACCCCTGCTCCTCCCCCACCGTCGTCGTCACGCCATACTCCATCGGCACCTCCACCTCCATACCTCCTGGACTATCTACCTTCTCCTGCCAAGCTGGTTTTGGTTTGAGCAGCAGCAGCTGGCCGGTGAGCAAGCTACCGAGAACAAGCAGAGAGAGTGAATGAAGTGAGGTGAGCAACCACGGCGGCCAGGGCGGTGGAGTAATATAGCGGTACGAGCGCGTGGTGTAGTGGAGTACAGCGGCATTGCGGTGGCGACGCGGCTCTGGGATTGTATCCTAACCTACGCCATGAACCGCGGGACCCCGGTGTATGTGGGCTCCGCTGTCGGCGAGACGGGTGAGCGCGGGTGCGCGTGAGGAAGCCAGACCAGGAGAGCCGCTGTACGTGGCCGGGGCTCGCGAACGCGCGGGAACCGGCGTCGGTCGACAGCGGGGGAACGGTCTAGAGCGAGCGCCCCCGCCTCGGATCCTCTGCGGCCGCCCCGCTCCCGCGACACGACCGCCAGGGATGGATCATGGCTGGCGTTGCGTCGTGATCGTGCCCTCCCTGAAAACCACTGCACACCGGCCGTACGGATCCAAGACACCGATCGAACTATTCCTTTTTTCTCTGTCTGCGAAATATATTTATGCCCATTTTGTTCTTTGCGTCGGCGAAGGGTCGCATCGGCTTCATTTTAGACGAGGCAGCTGGGCGGCTTAGTGGATCCGAGGCGAGCCGGGCGGTTCAAACTCGGCCTCAGGCATTGATTTATCTCTGGGAGAATGCCCTGGAACTGGAGGGAGAGAGAGGGAGCATGTCTATCTCCTCGGTCGTCCTGCTCTGCTCGGCGCCGCATGCAGAGGAGTTGTGGCGGGGGCGGCGACCACGTGGAGGCGGCTCCGTGGCGCGGGCAGCAAAAGCGCGGGCCAGCGTGGCCGGGCGAAGTACGTGGCGCGGCCGCATTGACACACACAGCTGCTCCGGAGCTCGGTGCGGCAGAGCTTCTCGTGCTCCCAGGCCGGACCGGGCGTCGCCGTGCGCGCGCAGTTTGTGTACGCGTGGATTGGCTAGAATGGGGTTGTTTTGCGCATAGGGCCATGTGCTATGTGTTCGCGAGCTGGAGCGTCCGCGTGAGCGCGCGTTTCTCGGTCACCTGAGCAAAGACGGACGTCTGTCTTTTATTGGGAACAGCGCAAATACCCGTACGTTTGTATAACGAAGGAAAAAATACCAGTTCTCCTAGAGCAACTTCAATGCGCCGACCCGAACGGAGCGGCCCTTTTGTCCGTTTTTTATATGTTTAGGTTGACCGCCCGCCCTGCGTCCATCCTGTTTGAGATTTGAATCGGCAGTACGCCCAACACGCTGACCCAGATGTTTCGGTGTGGCCAAATGGCCGTCTTTTTTTTTGGCACAAGTTGAGACCTTGGCTCGGCTCTCTCCCCCGCTACAGTAGGAGAGGCGATTTTTTCCCCTTCCCCGTTCGATCTAGTTCGCCGGCGGCGGCTCGCTGGTTTCCCCCCCTCTGCCGGCCGCTTCGGCGGCGGGAGGGTGGGGAAACCTCGGTTCCCGTCTGTACATAGCTAGGATGGAGTGGGTGGTTCGCCGGCAGCGCCGTGGAGAGGAAGGCGCTGTCGGGTTGGTGGTTTGTGGCGGCGGTGATCTTCTCCGGTGGCGGGGTTCTGCGGAATCCGACCACTTCCCCGCCTCCTTCCTGGTGCTCGTAACTCGGCGGAGTTGCCGTGCGCCTTCTTCCCGTGCCGGAGTCCGTAGGCGGCGGCTCCGGTTGTTGAAAGTTTGGAAGATGCAGGTGATGAGGTCCAGATCGAAGGCGATGGCGACGATGCAAGGTGGAGGCCCTTTGGGTTCGAGGTCCGTTGACTTCCCGACCGCCATGGGACTCCGTCCGATCCAAGGTTGTAGAGGAGGAGCGGCGGCGGCGCGCCAGCGGCACGTCTTCATCGACGGCGGCGTCTTCCTTATCCTTAAGGACTTGTTTGTAATTGTCTTATCTTTTGAGGACTGTTCTGTAAGGGTACTGGATTAATATCACTTGGTCTTTCCCGCAAAAAAAAAA